GGTTTGTATGAGGTGGTTACAAAAGCCTTTTTTGTCTATAAAGTTGCTGTTCATTTATGTATTTATTCTGGCCTGTTTGATGTATATGTGAAACAATGTTGTCCAATAATAAACTAGAATTTTGTTTTGCTGAGTTGTTCTCACAGAAAAAGAAAAGAAAAAGGTGGGTTTGTTTTTGTTTTAAAAGGGGTTAGATCTTATGCAATTGTGGGGCTGGAGGAGCAGCCTGTGGAGGCTTCTTGCTGCCTCTCACTCTGGCACTGAGGCTGAAGTGCCTGTATGTCAGCTGGTCGGGGAGGCCCGGAGGACTTGGATGTGGATGAAAGTGAGGACAAAGTTAAATCTGAGGATAAAACAGAACCCATGAGCTGGGACCCACACAGACACCTTGGAACCTTTGTTTGTCCCTCACTCCTTCTACCCTGACCCGTGACCTGCAGGGAGATTGACACTGCTCACCGCAGAGCTCCACATGTGCTTGTTCCAGGACTTGTGGAGGCTGGAGGAAGAGATCCGGTGGGAACTGGAGAAACCACACACCAGGTGGTGCCCATGCCAACATGGCAGACCAGCAGACCAAGCTGCCCCATGCCTATTGCCCAGCTATGACCTTCAGAGGGTGACAGGCACAGATGCTGCCTCTCTCCTGCCTTCCAAATGTGTGCACAGTATTTCTTGTGGACAGGGACAACTGGGAACCATGTGGGGAGAGAATTTGGGAAACGTGGTTCTGATGAGCTTAGTGGATACAGCATGAAGCATCCACCACAGAGTGGTCCCCGGTGTCCACTCTGCTCTTTCTCCTTTGAGTAGAGCTGCTTCCCTGTGAAACCCTGAAAGCGAGGGGAGGGCTGGGAGTGTGGATTGTCAAGTGGGATCCAGACATTTCTGAGATCCGGTTGGAATCCCCCACAATACCATGGAAACCAGGTGTTCACAGTGATGCTCAGCATTCCAGCATTTGGACCATCTGGGGAGGTGCCTGGCATTGCTCGAGATGAACTAAACCAACACCCAGCATGGGGAGGGGCACATGCTGGTCAGTCTTCCTAGCTCCCCTGGTGATTCCGATCCAGGGTGGAGAACCACGGGTCTAAAGACACCCACATCTCACCCAGGTCCCCTCACGGCTTATGGTTTATGGGGCAGTCTGTGATTATTTCACACTGAGATATGAGGAAAGATCAAGTATGGGCATGCTTATACACTGAAAATGTGTTTTAAGATGGCAAGAGTCGATAGATCTTCATTTCTCAGGCAGCTACACGTATTTTGCAGTAGCAAGAAGCATGAGTCAATGAGCCGTACGACCCGCTTGTGCTGCAACAGCCTTGCCTGTGCTATGACATCTTCAGACGCTGTGGTGCCCTGGTTCTGAGGACAGGGCAGGAGAAAAACATCCTGAGGAGCCCGCAGGTGCTGAGTGGAGAGGGTGGGGGCATAATAGAGGCTGCCTGTGGGGTCACAGGAGGCTTTGAGGTCCCCTATGGCCCCGCAGCATCCCCTAACAGAACTGCAAAGGAAGACCAGGAGCAGGCAGGCATCCAGGACCCATCTCCACCAGCCTCAGGTGGGCACCTAGGTCTGCCCCTTCTGGGAGCCGAGGCCAGGAGACCTGGAGGGGCAGGCCCTGGGTCCACTGCCCTTGCTTCCCTCTGACCACAATACCCCATAATGGCACTGCCTCTAGTGCAGTGATAGGGCTGGGCCAGGACTGCAAGGTGCCATCTCAAAGCTCCTGGGTGCTCCTAGTATGCAGCCTTGTGAGGATGCTACTTTAAAGCCAAGATTTGGGCTGCGTAAACTGGGAACCAGGGTGGGGTGGTCCCCAGTATCCCCTCCCCTCCATGCCTCCAGGGGCTCAGTGGCTCTGCTAGAAACTCACTGTTGAATCCCCCACTGCTCCCAGCAGGATGTGCTCTTCAATGTGTTAGGGACTGTTTGCTGAGCACCTACTATGTGCTGGGCTATGCATAAGGCGGCTGCATGTGCGTGTCTCTGTATGCATCTCTCTCTGTGTGTGTGTGTGTGTGTGTCTGTGTGTGTGTGTGTGTAAGAGAGATCCAGGTTCTTACCTGATTCCACAAGGACTCAGATGCCCAACACCTCCCTGTGGGGTCCTCCAAGCCTCACCCCAACCACTCCGTCTGCCCCAGAAGACCTAGAGGGCCTCCTTCCCTGCCATAGCAGAAATCCCAGCAGTGAGTTTCCCTGACTCAGCTCGGGTCACCTGCCTGTCACGGATCCACTCACTGCATGGGGGATGGAAGACAGGCCCGCCTGGCTGTGCCCGTCCCTGCCCCACATAATCACATGAACTGAGCAGGGTTGGGAGGGACCATCCCAAAGAAAGATGGGGTTCCTAACACAACAGAGGAATGGGGGCTGCTGGGCAGGACAGCTGGGTCCCTGCAGGGCACTCAGGGTGGCCAGTGGCTCCAGGGAGCAGATAGGGCCAGGGAAGCCCGGCGGGCCTGAGTGCCGCAAGGGCAGCTTGGACACAAGGTGGGAGCTGGCGGCTGCGGGTTTCCAGATCCAGGACCAGCCTTGGTCATGTGGGCAGAGGGTCTGGAAACTGGGACTGAGCCCTGCTGTGGTCTGTAGGTGGACAGGACACACAAGGGCCTGAAAAGCCTGGCTGGGGTTGGGGCTTTGTATGTCAAGGAAAGGCATCTGCAGGGAAGTCGGGGCTGACCACGAGGACTGTGGGCCTGCACTGCCCACCCCTCAGAGCCTCAGCTCTCTCCCAGAAAAGGAGCAGAGGGAGCTGAAGGCCTCTGGGCCACCACAAGCTCAGTGCTGGTTCCCTCTGGGCTCGTTCCCGCGGCCTGTTTTCAGCCCCAGCAGCTGAGGTCTCTAAACCTTAAGGTGCCCAGCTGAGCCTGGGCTCTGCTCGTCTCTGTGGGCAGGAACTTGCTGGTGCACGAAGGCTGCTCTAGAAGGAGCCTGAGTCCTCCTCTGCCCTGGGGGATCTGAAGGGACGGGTGACTTCCACCTGCACAGGGGGAAGCGTGTCACAGAACCCAGGGGCCACTGCTCTACCTAGGCTCAGGTCGACCAGGATCCGGACACGGGAGCCTGGCTGAGGGCCCTCAGCCTTCCCCAGCCACCCGTTTCCATGACAACCAGAGGCCTCTGGCTGTGGCTGAGCCCCACGCCCACCCTGGCCCTGCCACCGAAAAGGGACGGCCTGAGGGCTGGCTTTCCTGCCCAAGGCATGTACCTTGTCATAGGCCATGATAGGTGGGGGGACCAGATCATTACAGCCAGGCCTGAGCAGATCAGAAGGGGCTGCGAGATCCGTAACCAGGTGACGTGTTGGGGCTCATTACAAATCCGAGCGTCCCTGCTCTCCCCTGCTTGTTTTTATTGAAAATCGGGAGGTGTTAGCACAGGGAGGAGATATGGCTCCGTTTTCTCAGCCTGTGGAGCTGAATGCACTGCTCTCCTCCAAGATGTCAGAACAAGGCTCACGGCAGTGCCAGGTGAGGGCTAGGCACTGAAGTGGGTGGGCTCTAAAGGCTGCGGGGCTCGGGGGGTGGCCAGGACCTGAAAGGCAAGCACTCCTGGCTGGGAGGGAGTCCCAGCATCAAAGGCATGGCTGGCTCACACCAGCTTCTGTTCTGGAGGCCGAACAGAACCCTGCCCTGGCTCCTCCCCGACTGTGTCCCATTGATCCCTCCACAGGGTGACTGGTCCCTGGGAGAGCATCAAGTAAGCCTCAGGCTTTAGGGGCAGAAGACCTGGGGTTGCTGCTGCCTCTCCCTGCTCCTCATGCTCTCCTCTCACCACACACTGCCCCTGGGCCTTCTTTATTCCTGCCAACATACTCCTTCCAACCCCAGGGCCTTTGCACATGCTGTCCTTCTCCCTAGATCACTCTGTCCTGCCCCTACTCTTCACCGAGCTCTTCATCAGGTCTCAACTTAAATATCTGCTCCTGTCATCACCCCCTAGCTAAGTTAATCCCCCTCATCCTCCCACAGCCTCTCATACATGGCATACTTGAAGACATCCGAGGTCTAATTACACACTTGCCCGTCTGCCTCTTCCTTGAAAGGCCATGTCCCCTCCTGACTGTGAGCCCCAGGAGGGCGGCCCCTTGTCTGAGTTGTTTATTTCTCAGTCCTGCCCCCAGCACATGCCTGGCACCTAGTAGGTGAGAGCTCAGCAAATGCCCTGGGTATTCACCCCCATATGTGAAAACCCCATATGTGAATATGTGGAACTTTCAGAACGTAAAGAGTAAACCACACAAACGCCCGCATCTCTTTAAGTCGGGCTAAAATAACTGAGAGTGTTGTTAATTGTTTTTATTTGGGGGATGTTGGTTTTCATTTTATTTTCTTTTTTAATAACTCACACTGCATAATCAGCTGGTAATTACAGCTTCCATCTCTGGTTTCTGCCTCCCTGACTCGGGCTCCGAGGATGGGAAGCGTTTCATATCTAATCAGTATTTGAGCCAGAACGCTCTCAGGGGAGCAAACTCGTGGAGTGTGGAGTCTGATTCTCAGTGATGTGAATTAGAACAGGAAAACAACCTGAGCTCAGAGCTGAGCTTCTGTGGGTGACAAGACGAGAGGCCACACTCCTGCTCACTGCACCCCCTTAGCCCATCCCTGCCCAGGGCTACCAACCCATTCATCTCCTAAAAGGCCCAGTCTGGGGCCCAGGAAACAAGAATACGCTGAGGAATCACACCGATTCTCATTACCCTGGGTGGGGGCACCCTAAGGTCCCCGTAAAACCTTCATGGCAACCTGGAAACTGCTTAGGGGCACCTGGGCTCCCTCCCTCCTCCCACCCACATATGGCAAAGAAAAAGCTCTGAACATAAAAGTTTGGCTGGAAGTAAACAGATTAGTGATGGTGATGTGCTGGCACTTTATTAATTACTTGCCCTAAATACGTTTAAATCCAGGCCTTTAATTTAGATTTATTGGGATAATTCAGATTTATAAGACTGGCTATTATGCGTTAAGTACATAAAATGCCAATTGGTTTTCATAGGAGATATTTATTGAAGTATAAAAAGGAAAATATGTAAAATCTAATTGCCCTTGAGTTTTTGCTTCAGAGCTGATGGAGAAATACGGGAGTGGGGCAGATACACCTCACCTCATGAGACACTCTCATCTCCGTGGATTGTAATTTGTTCTCCCCCGGCTGTTCATTTAAATAAAAACCAGACATCACACTATGAATGAGACACGCACCTGACCGCAATGGAAGCTGCTGTCTGGGGCTGTGTCTGAACCAGCGTGAGGGTGAAAGGACAAGTGGGGTCAGGGAAGCGTGGTAGAGCAAGCACTGGATCGGGGGCCCGGAGCCCTGGGCTGTGGTCTCTGCTCTGATTCTGGCTCCTCTGGGTAGATCCATGAACTGGGAGGGGCTGCGACTCAGTGGTCTGGATGTCATCTCCAGCTCTGGAGTGTGAAGGATCTGGAAAGGTGGCCCCACCCCTGATGGTGGATGGTCACTTATCCTTGCCAGCTGTTGCATGACATGGCCAGAGCAGCTCAGGGGTCACTGTGCCAGGCAGGCCTCCCTCCAGTGGGATTAGCCCCCAGCCACAGGACTGTGTGGATGAAGAGAATGAGAGCTTCAAGGCCAGCCTCTGGGCTGGGCTCATGGTCTGGTTGGTGAGATATGATGCCCAGCCAATTAGGATCTGGCTCCCAAATCCAGGAACTGGATTTGGAAGAGGCTGGCAGGCTATGAAGATGTCTGGGAGCTGCCATTAGGAAGGGCTTTGGTGGTCATTACTCCAACCTCCCTCTTTTCCAGGGGGCTTTTGCACAAGTCCCCACGGCCTGGTAGTGACAGGTGGAGAAACCTGGGATCTCTGGCCAGCTCTGCTGTCTGCCAGCAGTTTGACAAACCACTTCGGGGTGAATGTTGGCCTCTTCCAGGAACTTCTCCCCAGGCTCTCTCCTGGAGCCCAGGACAGTTACCTACACCCACCCCTGGCCCTTCTTTCTTTGGTCTCCAGGAATTGCCTCTGCTGAACCAGCCATTTCTCAGGACTCATAGACAGCAGTAGCCCCAGCAGGGTGGGGCTGCAGGGAGTGCCTGGGAGCTGGGGGAGGAGGAGGAGGTCTGCCTCCCAGGACTGCTTCCATGATGACAGCAACAGTGACAGCCACGGCCATTTTTGATATTCACTAAGAACCACTTTCCATAGATTGTCTCCTCTGATCCTCCCGACAGCTGTCTGAGCAGGGTGCTATGACCCCACCCAGCTACTGAAGAGAGCTCAGAGAGGATGAGTGCCCTGGCCAAGGTCACACAGCTAGAAAGAGGTAGAGTGTGGCTGTGTTCCTGATCTGCTGGCCCCAGCTCTTTCCCCCGCCCAGGCTGCCTCTCTAACTAGTCTGCCTGGAGCATCTCTGCTACCCGCAAAAATGAGTCTTACCCCTCCCTGTGGGTACTAATCACCCTTCCCAGTCTGGCTCTGACCCTTTCGGCCTCTTCACCTACCTTCCTCTTCTGTCACTCCCACACTCAATGACAAACCATTCCCCAGCAAGCCCTGGGGTTTCAGTAAAGGAGTCATCAGCACCACCATAATAGTCCGATGAGCAGCCACGTGGTCCACCTGAAATGTTGCCTTTAGCTGGCATTTCATCCCAGACAGCCACAGGCGCTAATTTAAGTAATGTTGATGCCACTGCATCTCAGGCACCACCAGACTCCCATTTTCCACTGGTAATGAGATCCTCACCGCACGCCAGACAGTCGACGTCCAAATCCCATCCTTGATGGTTTGTTTTCTGGGACCACTCCTAGTGGCAAGTGCTGTAGCCATCAGGGTTCACTTAGGGAAAGCCTGAGAAAAATAAAGACTCTGAACTTGGGAGATTTTGATTCGGGGAACTCCCTTCAACTGTCTTAAAAGAGCTGAAAGAGGAAAGAAGGTGTGACAACCCCGAGATCAGTGACTTGGGAGGCGCTGCCACTCCTAGGGCTGGAGGCACAAACAGCAGGAGGTGGTGCCACGGGCTCAGGACTGCACGTCCGGCTGACTCTGGTCAGGCTTGTGCCACGCCGCTGCTGCTGGTGTAATCCATCACTGGGGACACTACTGCCAGAGCCATCCACCTCCTGGGCAGCTGCGGCTGGCCCCTGTAGCTGCTGCCAGAGCCACCGAAGAAGCAGGAACTTCTTTCCTTTGCATATGCCAAAAAAAAAAAGAAAAAAAAAAGAGAGAAGGAACAGCCAATGGCACCTCCTCTGCTCCTGCCTTCCTCTGGAAGCATCCATTGGCCAAAGTGAACTGCAAACCAAGGGCCGGGGTGCCTGATGAAAAGCCTACAAGAAATGGCAAGTAGAATAATGAGGTGCACAGTGACTCGGCGTTTGGACTTTTGTGACGAAAAGACATGTGTTTGAAACTCAGCTCTGTGACTTACTAGTTGTGTGACCTTCAGCAAGCACTTAACCTCTCTGAGTCATGGTTTCTCCACAAGTAAACTGGGAGGCAATAGCATCCACTTCACAGGGTTCATACGAGGATGAGATGAGATCAGCTCTGCAGAAGTGCCTACCACAGAGCTTGGCATATCATATGCCCATATTTTACTCCATGCCCTTGAACAAGTGCCTGGGCTCTGTTTTCTCATCTGTTAAATGAACGAGGTTGGACTACAGGCTCCCTAAGGTTTTTCCAGATTTGATGGCTATGAATCATCCTTAGATGAAATGGACAAGGTAGGACTGCCAGGAGAGCCAGAAGGAGGGTCTGGCTGCCTGGAAGTAGCCCGGGGGAAGAACCGAGAGGCAGGAAGCAGTGGTCTGACTGTGTCTGAGTGTTCTGAGCCGGGCATTTTGCTGGAGAGTATGTCCAAATGACAAACAGATCATACTTCAGTGCCCTCAATGCTTGTTCTAACTCTTGTCTAATGCTGCCCCTAGCAAGGGCACCTGTGCTGTCCATTCCCCTTGAGATGCTCACTGCCCAGACAACAGAAACTTACCTGGAGCAGCAGGTTCCACACACTATGCAATGGGGGGAAAAGTGGCCTCCTCTAAAATCCCTCATGTAGATTCAGTGTGTAAACTCTCACCCCTTCCAGGGGCCTGGGCTCCTGAGCGATGAGAGTCTGAGTCATGACTTGAGGCTCAGGTTTAGGGGCCGGTTGAGTGGTTAGGAGACTCATGCCAAGGAGTAAGGGATTTTTTTTTAGTCAGGCAGAGATGGGTTTGAGGTTCTTCTGACTATCATCATTTATTAACTTCTCTGAGACTCAGCTTTCTTATTTCTTAAATTGGAGGCTGACTGTGGCAGCTCACGCCTGTAACCACAACAATTTTGGAGACTGAGGTGGGAGCATCCTTTGAGGCCAGGAGTTTGAGACTAGCCTGGGCAACATAGTGAGACTGTCTCTACAAAAGACACAAAAATCAGCCGGCCATGGTGGCTCTCGCTTGTAATCTCAGCTACTGGGGAGGCTGAGGAGGGAGGATTGCTTGAGCCCAGGAGTTGGAGGTTGCAGTGAGCCATGATCTCACCACTGCACTCCAGCCTGGGCAACACAGCAAGACTCAGTTTCAATAAATTAATAACTAGAAATAATGATATCTACAGTGTCTGTCCTCTCAGTATCTTCTTCATCCCTTTCATGCCTGGACACCCCACTCCCTCCATGCTGTTCTGTCTTTAGGGAAGCACTCACCATCTGCTCTTCAGACCACACAGTTCTGGCAGGATCACCTGTCACAGCCTTGCCTTATCTCCTGAGATGGGAGTAAAGGGCCCAGGTTGGACTGTGCCCCACACCTGTGATGGGTCTAAATGGTCAGCCTGTGACTAACCTGATTCCTTTCTGCGATTACAGAGAGGAATATTGGGAAAGAAAAACCTTGTCTGCCTTCTAGAGTCACTAAGTGAGATGATGTGAATTTGAAGTTGCCAATTGTTGTGACTCTCACTTTTCTCCCTGCCTCCTCTTGAAGAAGTCCAGCAAAAGAGGGAGAGAAAGTGCCTCCCACCAGAAGTCCAACAAGCAGAGGTGGCGGGAGGTGGGGAGGGGAGAAAGAGCAATCCAATGACAGAATTGGAGTTCCTGAATCCAGCTCTGTTTGGAATTATTTGTCTCTATCTTTTCCACTTCTATAAGCCTTTACCTTTCCTATTTGGTGAAGCCAATTTGAGTTGGATCTTTGCATTTTCAACCAAGTACGTTCTAACTAATACATGTACTTCTTTATTATGTGATCAAGATTAAGTGAGATAATTTAAGTAAAGGGCTTAAAATAGCTCATAGTCCTTGTCCAGTAAACATTAGCTTCTAGTATGGTTGCTGTTATAGTTACTTGTCCATTCTATCCATCTCTGGCTTGTGAGTTTCTGTGACACATGACCTTTGCACCTGCTGTTGCCTCTGCCCAAAACACTCTTCTCAGCTCTTCACACAACTTCTCATCATTCAGGCCTTAGCACATCTGTTCCCTTTCTTGAGGGGCTCTTCCTGACCAACTACCTTTGACCTCCTCATCAATCACTCCCTGGGGCACTACCCAATATATTTCCCTCATCACAGGTTTCATACTCACTCATTGGTGGTTTGTTCATTGTCTGTCCCCTCCAACCAGACTGTGAGCTCCAAGACGGCAGGAGACAAGTAGATGCTGTCACCTGCATGCCCCCTGTGCTAAACACAATGGCTGACATCTGCTAGGCACTTGTATCACTCAGTTATTGCTGTGTAACAAACCACCCCAAAACCCGCTGTTTAAAACAATGACAATGTACTCTCACTCATGCAGCATGGCTTAACTGTGGGCAGTGGCTGTAGGGGCCACTTGGACTTGGCTGGATGAATCTTCAAGGTGTAGGTTTACCTGAGCTTGTCTCTTTGCTATGTGCTGGGCTCAAGCCTCCCATGTATGTTGCTGAGCCAGTGCTCCTATAAACTGCACAGCAGCGCTAGCAAATCTAAGCCTGAATGACCTTAGCTACTCGAACTGCCTCTCAACCCTGAGCCAGGCTGCCTTCCCCATCCAGACTCTAACCAGGCTCTAGGCCTACCAGGCCCCACCATTAACAGCCTCTCCATGCCCAGGGCTGGCATGAAACACTGCCTGATCATCCCAGTCTGCTCAATTCTCACGGGGAGGGTGGCCTGAGTCAGCAGGAGCCCAGGAGCTGAGAACTCGTTTTAAGAGAAAGGAAATTCGTCTAAGCTCACCTCCTACTCTCTCCCTGGGGTGAGAAAAGGGAGCCTGTCCAGAAATGTCATTTTCTGCTAATTTCAAAGCGTACAATGCACTTCTCTGGGCTGTTTATTCTCTTAATGCATTCTGTCTGAAGAGAGCTGGGAGCAGTCCCTTCCCTGAGACCCCAGTCCATGCCCAGTCCTGGGCAGTCAGAGAAACCCCTGCTGCTCCAGCCTCTCCCTTGCAGTCTTTGCTGGCCTCCATCCTCCCCAGCACTCCCTGTCTGTGGTGCTATCTCCTCTGCCTCTCCTCCAATCTCAGTCCTCAGCTTCCTCCAGCTCCTCTAATCTTGGCCTCTCTCTTTGCCTCCTCCTCTTTCAGATCTATCTTGAGAACGATCTGATTGCTGTGCAAAGATAAGAATTTTTCTGAGAACTTGACCAAAACGAAGCACCGAAGAACCCCTGCCTTGATTCAACCAATGCCTCCTAGGGTGCTTTGTGAAGTGATGGCTTGGAAGCAGCCTGCGGTATCTGGGATCTATGCCTCCCTCATTTTACAGATTAAATCCACTAACATCTGAGCTTCTCTAATCAGCTTCCAAAAAGTTTTTCCACCCACTAGTACCCAGTACTTCATGGGATCCTTTGAGAAGCCTGTGAGTTTGGCTGGGAGAATTTTACTATCATTCTAATCGGTGGAGGCCCAGAGAGGAGAATTAACTAACCCAGAATCAAGGAGAAAGTGAGAGGGAGAATTGCAACAAGAGCTCCTTAATTATGGCCCACACTTCCCATGATCTAATGGATGGAGAGAAGGTGGGAAGCTAGCCGGGTCCTGTCCCATCAACCGACATTCCCCTTGTGCAACCCCTGAGCTTGGAGCAGCTATGGAGATAACCATATGTGTTGAGGACTGGTCCCTGTGTGTTGAGCAGTTTTCAGCACACAGTAGGGCTGGAGAAAACACTACTAAATGAATCAGTGCCTGATGAATCTACAAATGGTAGGGGGGCCTGGGCTAGCAGAAGCTCAAGAGCCCAGAAAGCTTTGTCATGAAAAATAAAATTCATTGAAACTCTCCTCCCACCATCGCCCTCTCTCTGGAGTGGAAAGAGGAACCTGCCCAGAAATGTCATTTTCTACTCATCTGTAAACTGAGCACCCTCAGCTGGTACCATATCATCCCTCCCTCCCATGCCTTTCCTATGGTCTCCCTCACCCTCAGGGATGATTCCTGGCCACTACCCTTCTCAAGCCTCACCCCCAGCCTCCTGGGCTCTCCCTTGCTGCCAGTATCTGCCTCCTCTGACACTGGGGCAACGAGGCCAAGAGGAACACACTCCCTTTCCCCTCATCTGCTTCTTCCCCCATCCCAGGGTCGGGGTGCCCGTCCTGGTAGAAATTCGTCCCTCCAGCCAGTTTCTGGAGCCTCTCCCCTTCCTCCTCTGCAGGGTCAGCTCTCTCCAGCATCCTACCTCTGTCCCTCTCTGACCCTTTTCTTTTGTTCCTCCGCCTCAGTTGCCCGAGGCTTCTCTCATCTAAGCTGCCCAAATCTCTCCCTTCCTCAGCCTTAAAACAAACCCTCTGGAGCTCTCCTGGCCCTCAAGCTATTTCTCTCCTTCCTATCATTGGCAATATCCTGCCTCCCATCCCCAAGCGACTCCAGCTGCCTCGATATGCCACTCCCACGCCTGCTTTCGCTGAAAACCTTTACTCATCCTTAGGTCCACCTGTTGGAAGAAACACTGCAGCAGATGCCGGTGCTACCCCACCAGTGCCCCTTTGACCATCCTCCATTGTTCTGCAGCAGTGGGATGTTCCTGGTACACTGACATCCGTTTTCTTCAAACTCCCTTCTCTCTTCTCCTTTGCCTGTGGGCTTGCTCTGGCACCACAAAATCCAAGTGCAGGGCACTAAATGCATCCCGGGGACAACTCTTGAACTGTGGGGGATGAGATTCAGTGGACAAAGGCCCCAGCCTCCCCCGCCACCAGGAATTCAGTCCTGAGGTGTGCTCCAGGGCGTTCCTTAGGGGTCCCCAGTGGGAGGAGCCCAGCTATCCACACAGCTAGCCACTTATGAAGACACCCTCTGTTGGCTTTTCTCCTTTCCGTGCACTCCTTTACTTGTGCTTCCTGGAGTCACAAAATCCCTCCCCAAACCTGCAAACCCAAGTCCTTGTCTCAGGTCTGTTTTGGGGCACTCACTCTAAGATAGATGTCTTTCTCATCTACCCCTGCCCAACGGAGTTAAGGGTTCCAACGTCTATTCGAGCACATCTCGTGACAGTTTCCCTCCTGAGCAAGGCTGGTCTCCTCAAGACTAAGGGAGAGTTCCTATTTCTCTGTGTCCCCGTCATCCAGCAAGTACACATAGTGCATAAATGTTTCTTGAGTGAGTGAGAAAGTGAACGCGTAAATCAATGAATGAATAACAAGTTATGTCTCTGGGGTATCTAAGCCCAGGTGAACAAGTCCTGCAAAACAATTATGGATTTATGCCAATGTGTCTGGCCCTTTCAAAGCCAGCCTTCTCCTCCCACATCAAAACGTCTGTAAACTGTACACTCCATTCAACCCCAGGGGCCCTTCTCTTCGTCTTCTCATTCTATTATCCATAATGCAGTCATCTGCTTACTGCCAGGACAGCCTCCTGTTAGAAAAACTTTTCAGGCTCAGCAGGAGGTCTTGACTCTAGTTAAATAAAGGTTAAAGAACAGAGGGAATTTCTATGATAATATGACATAAGTCGATGCGGTCTCCCAGAGAATGCCACTCCAGAGATATAGATTTTTCCCAGCTGGACTCCAAGGCTTATTCAGAAGCGCTCAGACAACTCCCTGTTCAGAGCTGATGAGAGCAGCCTGGGGAAATAGTCATTGAGACACGTGAATTTATTGAACCCATATATATGCACTGGGGCTTCCAGCAAAAGAAATCAAATCATCGTAGAGGAATTAAAGTGGCTGCTGCCTGGCTGACATCACCTGAGTTG